GGGGGGGGCAGTTGGGCCCCAGGCCTGATAACTCACCTAGAAGCGCCCCGATGCGGCCCCGGCCCCCAGTCCAGAGGAGGAAGGGGAGGGGACGGGGCGATCTGGGTCGAGCCCGATCGTCAATAAGATTCGCTGCTACGGCCGGCCGGGAGGGTGGTGGGCCTGGGGATGGGTCGGATGGAAAAGTGCGCGGCGCGGCAGGCAGCGGGCGGTCGTGTGGGGGAAGTGCGAGAAGGTGCGGGGGTGCGGGGGGAGGGTCGGGATGATACACCCCTCAGGTCTGATTGAGACGGGTAATGAGCCACTCGGCCTCTGGCGAGGCGCAGCTGGCGAGGCTGAGACAGGGGAGGGTTAGGGAAGCGCGAGAGAAGGATGCGGGGTGGGGATGGAAAGGGAAAGAGGGGGGGGGGGCTGGACTCCCTGTAAACATATCCTTCACAGCAGAGCTGCCCCCCGCGACCACCGACGCCGCGAGGGAGGGGGTGGGAGCAGGCTAAACTGCGCAAACACGGCTACAAATTCAGAGGCAACAGCGGCGGGAGGAGCAGCAGATTTCTTTCAGCCCCCTCGTATCTCTCTTTCTTTCTCTCTCTCTGCCTCTTTTGCCTCTCTTATTCTCTTTCTCTCTTCATGTCTATCTCTCCTCCTCTCGACCGTATGCACACTCACGCACACACACACACTCATACTCTCACAATACGTATTATTCGCATTCCTCATCCGGCTCTCCCCGAAACTGCGAATGACCAATGCGAATGCCGAACTCATTTCGCCGAACGAAATTCTCGTTTTCTCTCCTCGTCCCGTTCTTTGAAAGCGTTTTTTGGTAGTCACACTCGGCTCCTTTTTCTGCTGCAGGCGACGAGCTCCTGCTACTCAACGGGCAGCCGCTGCGAGGCTCTACACACGCCGAGGCCGTGGCGATGTTCCGCGCCGTGCGCGCCGGGCCCGTCGTGCTGACCGTCTGCAGGAGGACGTAAGTACAGCACACCGCCATGTACCAGGCGGACAGTATTTTATGCATTGGTATGTGACAGTAGATAGCACTGATTAAAAAGTGAAAAAGGCGTAAGTCCAATGCGAAGTCCGTGGACTTACGCTTTTTTCACCAGTGATAGCCACGGTTTGGCCGGTTTGCCCTGGCCTCCCATGTCGTGTCGTGTGCGGCGTGCACGTGCAGAGTGTGGCCCGCACACCCCACCGCCCCTGACCACATCGCCCCCTAACGGCTGCAAGTAACTAGTCATAGTCGCCCACTCAAATGCAAGCGGTACAGTAGTGGCACTGCGAAAATTAAGAGAGCACATCATCAGCCGACTTCTGTCAGATTCGAGCCATAATTATATGTTTGCAAAAACATCTTTAGTACCACACGACCACACGCAGGGTCATAAAAGAACGTAAAAGGGGAAGAAATTTCTTGGACTCAACGCCTTGTAAGTCATATCAGCCTGGGAAAAAGAACATTGTACTGTCACCTTCATGCACCAAACTACTGGACTGTATTTGGTCTTGTGTGTGCAAAAGAGGCCTAAAGAGAGCAGTCCTCTCGCCCCTCCCCGCACGGGGCAGAAAAGGAAAAGGACCCGTCGGAATTTCACTTTCGGTCCCGGGGACGATTCTTATCCCCTCCCTCTAACCCAATAGAGAGGGAGCCTACGGCCGCCCCCGCCTGGGCCCGCCAGCGGCGCCCACCGTCGTCTGTCAGGGTTTGATACAGCCCCCCTGCGGAAGGGTGGGCTGGCGGCGCCCGGCAGGGGGGAAAAGAGAGCCCTCTTTGTCCCCGCCTGTCCAGCGGACGGCCGAGCCGAGTCCATCCGGCGTGGATCCCCCACCCCCTGCCCTCCCCCGCCCGCCGCACTGCGTGAGTGGGGGCCGTAGGGGCCGTCCTGCTGGGCCCGGCCGGCCCCGCTAACGATGCATGTGCGTGCCGCGCGGCCCTCGACCAGCTGGCGCCCCGGTGTGGGCAGCTGGCAGGTGGGCGCAGCCCGCAGCTGCAGCGGGGGGCTCTGTGTCGGTCGATGAACCAACTGGGGCTCCGCGCGCCCCGCGGCAGGCAGGGTAGGGGGAGGGGGGATTAGTCTACTTATCGTCCGGCCCTACCGGGGCTGTACACTGACCGGCCCCTGCCCCACACCCTCCCGCCACCACCGGCCCTTCGCCACTTCATTCAAAACAACAACACCGCCTCGGCAGGCGCGATGATCGGGCAGCGGGACCACACGAGCCGCCAGCGGCCGCCAGGGGTCACGGCAAACTCTCTCCCCTCCCCCTCTCTCCCCACTCCCTCTTTCCTTAGCCCCTCTCTCCCCACCCCCTGTTTGGCTCGGACATCGGCTTATACGCGGCGCCCCGGAGGGGCTGTACCAACACTGGATGATGTAAACCTTGTCGATACAATGCCCTTGCACTTGTTTTTATTTTGCTCCGTCTCTCTCTCTGTTGACAGGACCAAGAAGGCCCAGTCCTGCTCCGACCTGGTCGTGGGGGCGCAGTCCACGCAGCGAGAAGGGGACAGTTAGCGACGGCGGCCTCCGCTTTTTGTTGTCCCTCTCTCCCTCTTTTTCTTTCTCTGTGTGTCCCTTTTTCTCCCCACCCCTTCGCAACCCCCAAT